AAAAAAAAAAAAAAGACACAACACTGTATCAATTAGTCAATAGTTTCAGAAAGAAGAGCTGGTTTAATTTGGTAGTAAAAATACTTCAAAAATGAATCACCACAATAAACTTGTATATATATTCATGACAGCCGAGTAACCTGGATGGATTTAAAAAAAAAAAACACTACATGCGACCCATCATAAGTTTCATTAACAGTAGTCATAAGTTCATAACATTTATGATTTAGCACCAGAATAATACAAACTATTTACTATACCAAGAGGACATGAAAGTGGCATCCACAGGGTTCTCATAGTGTTTAGAAGTGTTAGAAGTTCCTCTATTCAGCTAAAGATTCTATATATATATTATTTCGTAAAATAATTGACATTTATATAGATAATACTAGTAAATCTCATATGAAAACTCATTATTTTTAATAAACAAGCAAATGTGGAAACATAATAAATAATTTGAAGTACCCAAGGCTTATCAATGTGACAATATAGAGACTCATATATATAAGAATCACCACATAAAATTTATACTAGGCAAGTCAAAATAATTTGCATTTGTATCTCACATTGATAGTTGCACCGTATGTGGATATGCTCGACCAAAAACTTGCTCCCCGAAATGATTGAAATCTGCAATGTAAAATCATTTCAAATTAATATATATATAGATATATTTTTTTTAAATATATATATATATATATATATATAGATATATCTCTCTTATCTATATATGAAAAGTGAGGCCTTTTGTGGTGGTGACACGTGTCCAGTTAAAAAATTGACAAGTGTCCAACTTTAATTACAATTTTGCCACTCATTTTCGTTGCACATTTTTTGCACTTATTTTTTCTTTATTAACGAAAGTGCCATTGAAGTTTTAGATATCTTCATGGCTAAGGAAAAACGGGACCAAATAAGATTTCTCCTTTCCCTTTCAAACACAAATGTCCTCCAACTTCAGATATATTTACGAGTTCTGACACTGCTTTCAACGTGAAATTTTGCCCCTTTTTTACACACGTGCCTTTTGCTTTTTCCCGATTTTTGGGGGTGTGCTTCTCAGTCTTTCGGTCAAACACG